AACAGTTTACGCATGGGAGCAAACTGCTCGCTCTCTACGAACGCATACATAACCGTACGCTCGGTTCCCATGCCGTCCGTTATCAAGAATGTGTATAGTTTGTATCTAAATGCCGAATATTAGATGCTTTAAAAAACTCACCCAGGGCGGTTTGTTGAACGTGTCCCGTCCACATTACCTACACCTGGAAAGCGTCGGAATAGCGCTATCTGCTGCCATCGGGAGAAACATATGTGGTTATAGTGACCTTCCTCTCCCTGACACACAAGAATGCGTCCGGTCTCACAAAGTTTTGCCAGGACCGAAGGCATATCATCTGCTACATTAAAACCCAACCATTCGGCACCTACTCAACGTAGCCTGTCGACACTTCCGGCGGTAGTTGTGTATATCCTTAGTTGTAAGAATCTTTCCGAATTCATCCGCCACAAACTGCCGCACCTCAGATGACGGCGTTCCATATCTCAGCAGGGCCTGGCATGTGCCCAACTCGTCTTCGGTTAGGCGTCGATTGACTGGAAGCCGGTCGTACAGAAACTTTGACAGTTTGTGGTTGTGTTCCAGAAAACAAGAGGTCACTGCCAGTTGGTTCCTTTGCCTCCGTAGACAAAACCGCACTGGACAGCTGGTGCTTCGCGTACTTATTTTATTAGAAAATACGCTCGGCTTGCTAACTTCTTCGGATTTAACGGCCTTCCGTTGGTCTTGGAGGGCGCCTGCTGCATTTGTAGTACACCCATTCGTAACGCAAACGACACACCCACAAAGTTCTCAACGAAAGCCACCTCCGAAGCCATAGCAGACGAAGCTCAAAGCCAATAATTTTCAAAAGAGATCGATTAAACAAATCGCAAAATAGTGACGGCAGATGAGGGGGGGTTTTCAGTCCACGCATACATGCAAAGAAATGTAACATTTCGACGCTAAAGTTTTTATTTCGCCTGGAGGGGTTTTGCAGAAAAATGCATTGTGCCTCTAGCCACTGGCACAGTGGGCCATTGAGTATTCGCACAATGGAATTGAATTCTCGAAAGTTACGGCACTTCAGGTTTGCCAGTTCTTAGTGTGGAATATCTGTGTATAATGTCTAAGTTCATGTTTTGTTGCAAATTATTTACATTGGTGATTTGTTTAAGTGAGCGAATCTTCAAGGTCAATAAGCACCACCGATCGTGACTACGTCGCCTGATGTGACATGAAATCACGAATTGACGGAAAAGCTGACTCACTTACAGCGAACGGAACTCGCAGAAAGTTTTCGAACTAAAATAATTCTCTGAACAATCTAGAATCTACATGGCGTTCGTGGACGCAAAATATACAGAGGTGCCGCCCCCGTAAAGATGCTAGATAATTGCAGTTACCAGTTAAATTTGCATAGTCAGCGATAAGTGTTGGCGAAAAATCGTACAAATGTGTTGGTAAACAGCAGAATATTGCGTTAAAGCTTGCGAATTATGCCATGAAAACCATGACGCTGATCAACTAGCGTATAGAATCTACGTCGATCGTAGCGGACACCTGAGTGAACCTTGCTGACGCACGCAGCTAAAATGAGGCTAGTGGTCCAGGATACCTAATCAACTGGCAGGAACGCGCCTGTCCATCTCTGCTGGGGAACAGTTCAAGATAGATGACATAAAAAATTGGGTTTAATTGGTCGTTTTGATGACTACGTATGTCCTGTCTGGCCGTGCATGAATTTCTTCCAGGGTAGCGACTATTTGGTCGTTGACGTCCTGAAATGAGAGGAAGATGTACGTTAGGTTATTGAAACATCACCATGAGGCGGCGGCTTACAAACTAGGAGGAGTGATCGCCCCAAACTGGAGGTGATTCAGCGGCTATATCCTAGATGCTTGCTCACACAACGCCATCTTCAGCCGATATTTTGCATGCCTACTTACTTTATCCCTCAAGACATATGATACCTACGTCAGATGCATAGGGTCTCATTATCAGATAAATTGTCTGGAGCTGATGGGTCACATGAACTCATCTTCGTCTCATTCATGTAACTGGCACTCTAAGGCATTAGTCGTAGGTGTCAGGTACTCACTCACAGCTGTCGAGTAGTTCCTCCTTGGACCCGAAAACACTGACAAGCACAGATTTACGGGACACAGTGCGCCGGGATTCTATGCTTCAGTTCAGATCAACATCGTAAGACGCTCTCTTTGCAGACCGTTTGCAAGCACACCTTTGCATTTTCTGGATGGGTCGGTGGTTAAGGATCAAAAGTAACTTATTTTTATGTGGGCTCAACTTTGGGACGAACCTGAACAGCAGCGAGAAAGGTTCACCATTACAACAGACAGCGTGATATGATACGCAACCCGTGGCACACCAGCGGTCACTGGTAGTAGTCGACGGTAATACAGCACACTAAAGCCCAAGTCTCTCTCCCTAGCCCGCCATCTGGGTCGAGGTGCAGTATCTCCGACCACCGACGACGGGCCGTCAGTTGCAGACTTCAAGCATTGGCGCAGCAGCATTTTTACCTGAACAATCGATTGCTTGAAGATATTTGTGGCCCTAATGCGTCCCAGCCCCGGAAGCTTATCCAGCACCCGGTTCAGTTGATTACAAAGGCCGACAAAAGCTGTCGGCGGTTGTTTGGCAACAATTGTAAGGGTGCGCATTTTTTCGGTCGACTTTAATCCGACCACCATCGTTGGGAATCAAGCGAAAAATCTGTGAAGAAGAGCTCTTTCCGCTTAAAACGGAATGATCCTTGAATACAGATAACAAGTGTACTCAGGGAAACCACATCGCCTGCTGGACAACGCTTGTGTATTCTTCAGCAACCGTCTGGGAGTATCTAAACGTTTATACCACAAACTATGACTAAGTTTACGTAGCTTAGCCTCACCTTGTTTGTTCCATTACCATCATAGAGAAGCATTGGCGGTCGTGACCCCAAGTGACTGAAAACGAGAGAACATTCGTACCTAGTCATTCGACAGACCACGTTCAGGATTCGACTTCGGTCACAACGGTACGACGTATGCATCTCCAATTCTTGCGTGAACCACTAGGCGTGTAGCAGCACCCGGTTCAGTTGATTACAAAGGCCGACAAAAGCTGTCGGCGGTTGTTTGGCAACAATTGTAAGGGTGCGCATTTTTTCGGTCGACTTTAATCCGACCACCATCGTTGGGAATCAAGCGAAAAATCTGTGAAGAAGAGCTCTTTCCGCTTAAAACGGAATGATCCTTGAATACAAATAACAAGTGTACTCAGGGAAACCACATCGCCTGCTAGACAACGCTTGTGTATTCTTCAGCAACCGTCTGGGAGTATCTAAACGTTTATACCACAAACTATACTATGACTAACGTAGCTTAGCCTCACCTTGTTTGTTCCATTACCATCATAGAGAAGCATTGGCGGTCGTGACCCCAAGTGACTGAAAACGAGAGAACATTCGTACCTAGTCATTCGACAGACCACGTTCAGAACTCGACTTCGGTCACAACGGTACGACGTATGCATCTCCAATTCTTGCGTGAACCACTAGGCGTGTAGGGACACCTTTTGTGTGGCATGCTCCACTGTGTCGCATTGGTGTCCCGGTCTTTAAGGCTGTCGTTCGCATTCTTCAGACGGTTTTCGGTGACACTGTCAAAGTAAGGTGTTCCAGATTGCGCGCGTAAGGCCCATTTTAGCATGATTTTCAACCAGCGGTCCGTGGATTCTGGCGGCACAGACGCTGCAGATCTTTCCGGAATCTGTGTGCTTGTGACACGGTAAACAGAAGACCTACTGTTCGGGTGAGCCATATCGTGGAATATGTACTGGATGCTCACAGAGTGTCTATGACCAAAAATACTTGGATATTAAATCATACATACGCGCTTCCTGATAGCCGTACCAATATGAAAGCAGCAGAGCATCACATCAAGAAAAATACTCTTGCCGCCTGCATTTGCGCCCCTAACTTGTCCGTAACGGAAGTGTTAGCTGAATAATGATCGTCCACGGTTGCCCTAAATACGTTGAACGGTTTGCGCATGGGAGCAAGTTGTTTGCTCTCCATGAACGCATGCATAAACAGACTCACAGTTCCCATGCTGTCCGTTATCAAAGAAGGCATACAGTTTGTATCTACAGGCCGAATATTAGGTGCTATAGAAACTTAACCAAAACGGTTTGTTGCGCAAGTCCCGTCTACACTTACTACGTTGGGAATCGTCGGAACAGTGCTATCTGCTGCCATCGGGAGAAGCTTACGGGGTATATTGACCTTCCTCTGACTGCCACAAAACCAAGTGTTAACTCTTCCGTATTTTTCCTAGGACTAAAGGCATATCATCTGTCACAGTAATACCCAACTTTGTGCCGCCTGCTCAATAGAGCGGGTCGACACTTCCGGCGGTAATTATACATATCCTGGCTGGTATGGATCATGTCAAGTTCATCGGCCACAAACTGTCATACCCCACACGACGGTGTCCCATACTTCAGAAGGGCCCCGCAGGAGCCCAATTCGTCCTCGGTTAGCTGTCGATTAACCCGAGGCCGATCGTACAAAAACTGACAACGCATAGTTGTGTTCAAAAAATAAGAGGTTACTTCCGGGTCGTTCCCTTGCCTCCGCAGATGGAACCGCACTGGACATCCGGTGCTTCGCGTACGGTTTTTATCAGCTTATTAGCTTTTTTGGAATCCCTGAATCTCCGCCGGTCTTTCAGGTGTTGGTGCTTCAATTACTGGATGAATACAAAAATACAGCACAGTTACTCTCCGTGTATTGACTTGGTGCCTTCCCGAATACCATAAGAGCTAAAAAGGATACAGTCCAAAATTTCTCGTCAAACGCGTGAAAAGCCACTCTCGAAGCCATCGCACAGCTAGCGCGCAAAAATTTCGAAAAAAGATTACTTTAAAAAATTCGCAGAAAATAACGGCAGAGGAGTGTAATTTTTTTGTCTGAGCACGTATGCAAAAATGCAACAGTTTGACGTAAGGTGTTTTATTTCACTCTCAAGAGGGTGCACTGTGCATCCAAGGGGCGGTAGGCAGTAAAGTGAAGCAACAACCAGTACAGGATTTGTGTGGGAGTAGAGCATCGTTTTTTTGAATAATGAATAACTGCGGTTTTGGCAACCGAGTCGTGAGATCCGCAGGCATCATGGATCTACGGATTGATACACGGGATCAAGGATTCAGCTCACGTTTCCCAGGTCGGTTTTGTTCTGTCGTTCAGCTGCCGTCCAACTGAAGGACACAAGTGAAAAAATGGTTTAACAGTGTCCTTTAAGTTCTCAGCGACGGGAAGAATGATGACCAGCGCGAGGATTTGCACGAATAGGTGCCTAGTAATTTGAGCAGGGTCCTAGAAGCGTGGAAAACCGTCGGAGGAAGGTTATTCCACGCGGCAACTACCGGGAATGAGAAGAAATCCTGTCTAGTGAAAGTGTACGTTCTGAGCTTGAAAATCTTGCGATGTCTTTGCCGTGTGCTTGTTGGGTCAACGGTGAAAAACCTGTTGGCCAAACCTTGTTCAAACAAAGCGCAATGAAATATTAGGTCCCGGAGTCATTCCTACTCCATAGGAAAAAGGTCATACACTGCGAGACGCGTTTCGTAGTCCACGGATTTGAGGCCGGCAACCATTCGCTTGGCGGCTCGCAGTGATGGCTCATCTTTCGTGCTCCCTGAGTAGACAACTTGGTTGGCATTTTCAAGGAGCATTCTGACGTAGGCCCCACTGAGTACTTGCAAGCCCCTGAGAGTAATACGGAGGAAGATGCTCCGAATCATTTGTAGGACGGTGAATGCCTTTTCAGGCGATTTCTCATGGTGCAGTGAGAATAAATGTTTGAAGAGAGCCAGATACCCCAATCGTTTTGCGTCTATCCTCGCCTTGTTTACCCAGCCTCCATGACAAAGGCATTGTCTTACTTTTCTTCAAATTATATATGAAAATTTCTGGATTAAAGCTTGTCCTCAAATATAAAGCCTGGATTTTCAAGAACATTTGAATGTCGTTGATGTATATTGTAAACAATAATGGTATAAAAATGACGCCTTGGAAGACGCTTACGGAGACCCGCGCTGGATAAGAGTACGTTCGAGAATTTTCCGCATGAACTGTTTCGACAAGAAATGTTTTGGACACCAGTTTTGTAGCTGGGTGTGAGGTTCGCTCCCTTCCAAGTAGAGGAAATGCGGCCTTCCTCGAGCGACTGATGAAACACAAGGTAGAATTGACTTTCCGCTGCGAACGACATTTCCTTCAGGATCCCTGGATGGAACACAAGGTGGAATTGACTTTCCGCTGCGAACGGCATTTCCTTCAGGATCCCTGGATGGATTTCTTCGAACCCCAACGCGCAGAATGGGTTAATCTTTTGCAGTAGTTGACAAATGTCATCCACGGTGAAGACCAAGACGGCTGGAGTTCGTTCTTATTTACGACTTGACCATATTGAATGTGACGAATAAGCTAGGGCCAAATACAGAACACTAAGGTGTTCTCTGTAGACCCCAGATATCACTATTGGGTCAGCCGTGGGTTCCCCGCTCCTGTTCCTCGTGAACTGCTGAACAGCATCAAAGCTTTCGTCCACATTTTTGGTCAGGTTCATTGTTTTCGTTCAACAGCTTTTGCTCGCATGCAAATGTGCCTTCAACAGGATTCCGAATGCAGCGTGAACAGCCGTCAGATGAATAGTGTTCTACGGACCAGCTGCCCAAAATAAGAAAAAATGTTATCTGAAGGAAGTAGCTGCGCTGGACTTAGTAATCGTCTTACCGTGTCCTCTCCATGTATCGGCTCTTTCAACATAAAAAAGCTTTTAGACAAATCTAGTCCAAACACGGCGTAAGTATAAGGTCACAGTGGAAGCGACGGTCTCAAGAGGACTGGGTTCAACAGACTCGAGGAGCGTGTTCTAATCAACTTATTTGAATCAAGAAATTTCCTCCGTCATAGTTCGCTGAAGAAACTCTACGTGACTAACGTCGTTGCTTTCTGAGTAGACAACTTTCAGCATTCGAGGAGCGGTCCTACATAGGCCCAAAAGAATAATCTAAAATCTGTGTGAATAAAAGGGAGGAAGGTGCGCCGAGTAATCCAGTGAACAATGGTTACCATTTAGGGCCGATTGCTCATGCATTAGTAAGAAGGAAAAGAGCCAGATACCGAAATACTTGTTGGTATGTATCTGAGAGGTCCATACAAGATGGGAGCGTGCTGAGTCTTTTCCAAAATAGGACCCAATTTTCGGCATTCAGAGGAGGGTGGCAGCACATTTATAGCTGCCTTGAGACGTCGATACGTATTTAGGGGATGCCGGTGTTGGAATTCTGAGATTTCATGTCGTCCACATATCGTGGCATGGACTTGCCGATGTATTTCATGGGTCGTTGACTTAGATAAGAAAGAGGAATGGTCATCAAATGTGCCATCGAGAAACCCCAATAGGGACTGATGCAGAACAAAAGTAGGTTGGTCCCAGCTTCAGTGTGTTCTGCCTGATTGCAAAGCCTTTATTCGGAGTAAAAATTCTTCTTGAACTTTAATAAACTTGAGTCTTTGGATCAGCGGGGTGTGTAGAACCCAAATAAATGCTTTTGAAGAGTCAACAAATTAAGCATCCAATGTGAATCTCGTCTTTGGCCTCGGTTAAACTGTCCATAAATAGGAAAATTTTTTTCACGCCAAAATGGTTCGGGAGGGACCCCCGTACGCTCGAGATGTTTGATTTTTAATGAGGAATTTTTCGAAAATATTCCACTTCAGAATGCTTTTGCGGGGTACGCCAGTGAGACTAATAGGCATGTAGCCAGTGTGTTATCTAGTCTAGTATTTCGGAGCAAATATGGCACTAGCTTCTTGGATTTGATGATCGTTGTACACTTAGGTCTCCTCTGCTATCCGCCGGACGCCTTCAGTAAATGCCTATGCATTGTCCATATGACCCACTGCACTAGATATCCATCCAGGAGTTCAGAATCCCCTTTCAGTAAATGACTCATGGTGTGGTGGCTGTGGAGTGTTGCCCAAGCCTTCATAAGGCGAGCGGTCAGCCTGCCGGCGGACTTAATAGTTAGCGGAAGACGGTCCCGCACTGCAGAAGTTGAATCCGCAGTGCACCACATAAAAGTCAATCGGTGTCGCAGAGGACTATCGGAATGCACGGGACCGCAATTTATCACAAAGCAACCACATATACTTCCGGCTTTTCGGAAGATGGAGCAGCCGTCTATTGAGTTCTTGGTGTCAGGGACGTATGTTTTGGCGAGACTAATAGGCAAATGGCCAGTGTGTTATCTAGTCTAGTATTTCGGAGCAAATATGGCACTAGCTTCTTGGATTTGATGATCGTTGTACACTTAGGTCTCCTCTGCTATCCGCCGGACGCCTTCAGTAAATGCCTATGCATTGTCCATATGACCCACTGCACTAGATATCCATCCAGGAGTTCAGAATCCCCTTTCAGTAAATGACTCATGGTGTGGTAGCTGTGGAGTGTTGCCCAAGCCTTCATAAGGCGAGCGGTCAGCCTGCCGGCGGACTTAATAGTTAGCGGAAGACGGTCCCGCACTGCAGAAGTTGAATCCGCAGTGCACCACATAAAAGTCAATCGGTGTCGCAGAGGACTATCGGAATGCACGGGACCGCAATTTATCACAAAGCAACCACATATACTTCCGGCTTTTCGGAAGATGGAGCAGCCGTCTATTGAGTTCTTGGTGTCAGGGACGTATGTTTTGGCCAGTGTTGGTTTAGGTGTGATTACAACGGTTGTTCGGGGTAACTGGCTGTCGAATACGAGGACGTCAATTGAAAAGATTGAGAAAGTTTGTGGGCGAGCGACTCAGTTAAATTTCTGTTGCTTTCAAAGGCACAACAGAAGGGTGTTTTGCCACTTCCAAAGCTGTCAGACTTAGTAGATAGAAATACTTCGCACTGTGCTTGTGGCGTGTAAAATGCCAACTTTTAAACTCAGGATTCGCATTTATTCAAGAATCTCTGTTGAAATACATTTCTCAGTTTCTCAAGACTCTTGGCGCAGTGTGCTAGTCAAGGTTTCTTCGCGAAGCCTAGTCGGGCCGCTTGTACGCTGAATGGTTCCACCAGGCAGTAGTTCCCTCCGATGCATATATGAAGGTATCGCTTTTCAAGAGACCATACACTGAGCAGATTTCTACCCGTGCCTAAGTTGTTTGGCTTATTCGACAGCAGTTGCTGTTCCTTTGAGTAAGCACTAATTCCATATTGTCTGCGATCAGCGTGTCCATTTCGGGGTACGTAAGCTTCCACGGTAAAATAATGTCGGATTCGTGACCTCGGCCCTCGGAACCATGAGTGACGACTGGATTAGATCGGCCACCCTTGACAGAGTGGAGCTTGGGACTTGTTGTTTCGCATATTTTAAAATGCCTCATCAATTCATAACCTCACCAGTGGTCTCGTCCTGCTTACCCTGCTACTGGTTGCGTGGCATTGGCAGCGGTCGCCGACGAGTTCGGCGCCTGTGGCTGACATGTCAGAGGCCTTTGCTACTTGTTTCTGCAGAGCCGACCCGATCCAGCTTAGGTTGTGAAACTCACCACTGCAACCTTTTCTGGAGAAATAAACGACCATACTTTCACATATGCTAGATGATCTTTCACTGCTATGATTGCCTCACAAATAGCTATACTGTCGTTGAAAAGCGATGAATATGTTAAGGTTTCAGCAAAAGAAGCAAACTGAAGTTTTTAGTTGAATCAAGGTGTTTTTAATAGCACAGTAGCTCAGAACTACCATGGATTTTCCCACACACCTGGGACTGATTGATGTATCAGTAAAGAGAAGCTTGATTTATACTCCACCCTACAATCGATGAGATTCATTTGCCGCGTCCCCGAAGGATGCGGACGCACTCGGATGCACCGATGATAACTGTGAAGCCATTTTTACTACTGATAGCGCACTTCAGGGTCCTCTGCGCGGCAGTTTAAGGGGAAAGTGTGACTAGCAGTAAGAATATTTGCCTGTTTTCCTTTCCGCGTAACGGGTCCTCGTGCGACGCTCCACATGTTACGGCTATCTGCTTTCTGAGTTTGAGTCACGCGTGCCAATCCAGGAAACGACCAACAACGGATTCTCCGTTGAGGTTCTCCGTAAGTTTACGAAATAAGGCGGTACAATCACCAGCCTGAGGATAAGCGCAGATCACTTCGCCTCAAAATCGACATCGCCACAACCAAGTAGATATCGAGAGCGATCAACCGCAAAAATCACAATGTCCGACCAAAGTCCGTAAGAGTTATAAAGATAGTTCAGTAAAACAAGAAGGTTTCAGTTCATCTGGTCAAGGGGAATATGGGGATTGGCTGTCACATGGGGTTGGAAACGGGAGCACATTGTTGGCAAGCTCTCTATACCGCCACCCAAAGTCTCAGTGGATTTTCCTCCATCAAGCTATGGTCATTCCTGGCTCAAATATTTTACTTACTCCAAGTTCCGAGTAGACTTACAGCAGTACGCCAAACGGAACTTGCTTACGCGCCAACTCCCGGTGGCCTCCCTGTATGCGATGAGTTCGAAAGCCCATCTCCCACCTGCGGAGAGTTGAGCGCTCGGTTTCCATCTCCTTCCCCCACACCTACTCACAACCCTCTATCAAACCGATCTTACGCACATCCCTCCTAAGCCTTCCGTCTTGTGTTCGTACAACCACGGTCCTAACTATACCATCATCTGATGTTTCACATTCATCAACTACGCCTACGGGCCACCGTTCCCGAGAGAACACACCTGATCGCACCAGGACTACATCCGCTTTCCTGAAATTCCTGTGAGATTTCTGCCGCTTAGTTCGTTCCTGAAGCAGATGCATGTACTCCTTCACTCAGCGCTTCCACAATACTTCAGTGAAGTAGTTCACCTGTTGCCAACCTCTCGTATACCTCTCTGTTATACTTTCCGGCACAACCCCCACGTACCCTGTTGTTGAGAATGAGCAATTCATTCGGTGTCAACGTCGGCTTATCGAAATAGTTGGTTTGGTTGGGTGCGATAGGGCATCCATTCATTACCCGCTCTGCTTCCGTAAGAAGCGTTACCCGTTCTGTGTCGTTCACATTCTGCTCGTTTATTGTCGACCTTGGCATCCGTCTTATGGAACGTACGAGATGTTCCCATACTCCACCTCTATGGCTGCTCAACGGTGGAGTGAACTGCCACTCGACGTTATACCGCATTGGTTCAGCGCTGATGCGGGAATGTGAAAGTCGATCTATGGCTCGTTTCAATTCCATCTCCGCTCCGACGAAATTAGAACCGTTACCAATGATAATCTTTTCTGGGGCTATAAAACACATCAACGTCTTTATGAAGGGGTCAGAAGATAATGAATAGGCCATTTCAAGGTGCACTGCCCTCATCTGTAAGCAGGTAAACAAACAGCCATACCTTTTCTCAGTCTTTCTTCCATTCTTTACCGTCAGTGGTCCAAATATTCACACCCAACTATCTTGAAGGGATGCCAGCCTGGCTGGATCCTGTCGACCAGCAGCGGTACCATAGCTTGTCGTGAAGCCGTTGTAAGGTTCCTTCGACACGTCCAGCAACTGTGAAGCAGCCGCTTGGTCACCGATACTCCCTGAAAGACCCATGCGTAAATGGAGCTAAATGGAAGGGTAAGCGAGGTACTCTAAGGTGTCCACTCAATCATTTTCTCCCTTGCTGGTAAGATGAAGCTGGGGCGGCTGTGTTGAATATTAGGACCACACCAAGCTTGGGTTGCAAGATCCTGACAGGTCGGAGGCCGTTTCAGCCTAATTTATTGCATATTTCTACACAGAACACATGATACAGTTGCTACTAATTTTGCCGCTGATCTAAGCATTTCCTCCACTTCGGCGGCGTCCACTGATAGCCAGAGGTCTGATTCTCTGTGCTAGAGATGAGCCATCATCATTTACATGCCTTTTTGTGCACTATGTAACCGCGTGATCGATACATGGGAAGTGACGCCGTTTCAGACCATCTGCGTTCCGGAAATTCATCCTACTTGTTAAAAATTCGAGGGGTAAACTGGCCTGACTTATTCGACCGGCATTTCGTACCTTTCATATAAGCAACATACCAATGGACGCTATCATTCGGATTTATATTTCCACGCAGTTGAGTTCTACGCCAAAATATATTTTCGCATCAACTATCGTTTGTGACACTATTATTGTGCAAGCGTTTTGGTAAGAACACACACCACTGGCCTAGTCACAAACTGGCAGTGGGGCCCGTTGTGGAGGAAGTCAAATTTCGGCTTGACCATCATGACGAACAGGGAAATAAACATACACCCTCTCAGGAATAATAACAAGATATGGACGTGGTTCCGTGACGATAGTGTCACTGGTCAGTGAAAATTGACCGTTTCACTAGCAATAACTGATTGGTGGTAAACTTGAACCAGTGAACCTGCAGCTCAAGTTCCGTACACTCAGGCGATTGAGTTGTTTAGCTTAACGAGTGTCTGGTTATGGATTACATCTAACAGAGATGAGAAGTTATAGCGACTGCTAGTAGGTCGTTTCGGGGACGAGTATTTTTTTACCGGTACCGAACAAGCCAAATTCAGTGGTGGCACAGTGTATGAGGCCCCTGGTTCAACGTTACATAATTGGAGCTAAAAATTACTCAACCTTTAGCTAAAAAGGTCATAGGTATGAACTGCGTGCGTATCAAGGTCTAGCCTGGACTTCATCCATGAACGACAGTCCATCTAGGTTTTCGTCGTGAGCATCCATGCTGAAGGGTTTGAGAGGCCCAACGCAATACATAATTAGGGTTGCTGAAAATTCTTCGAGAGTGAGGGGATGTTCGTCAACGACGAGTACCACAGATGAAAATCTTCTGTCAGGCGATGCAGAGTAAAGCTGTTGCGTTTAAAAAGTCACATGATCATCCGGCTGCACTACCAAACTTCATGATAGCTGCAGCCAGAAGCATCGAGCATTTCCAAAAGGTTACTAAACAAAGAGAAGAGATTAGTCCCTGCCGAAATGTATTGTGAAGGGCTGGCTCAAAGGAAGGCCAACGATTAAAGAAAAAGAAAACTAAACGACAGCGGGGAAGACCATCCAAAACTGAAGAGGAAAAACGCACTCTGGAAGTATAGAAATATTTATTTACAGTAATCAGCAGTTGTTTCATCCATTTATCTATACATTGGATATCACAAGCACAATTGGCCATTTGTTGTGAAAGTCTGTTACGAATTCCGGTTTCAACCACGATGCCAGTTCTCTCGAAAGATCTAAGAAGGAAGGAATTTATGATTGTTCGCAACCAATAGGAAGACTTACAAAGGGGTTCAGTTCTCCACTTGGCCAGTAAATTTCTCCGATTGTCGACTTTGGCTGATGCCAGCGAACTGACCAATTTGCGTACCTCCGGACGCACTCTGCGAAAGATGGAAACAAAGGAACATAATGTGTAAATGCTAACGACGGTTACGAGGGGTGAACACAAATAAAGCTCCCGGTGTCATCTCTGACAGGCGTTCGGGTGCTCGCAATGGCACTACTAACGTTTTATGAATGACCGGGTTGAAAGTTAGTTAGCAATTACACCCAAGACCAGTACAGAGAGGCTGGCAGCTACAAACATTTGACAACAAAACAACATATCGGATGCGACCACAGATTGCAGTGCCACAGAAAAATTTGAATGAAAAAAATTCAGCCGAAGTAACACAACATTCGATTGGCTATCTAAGAAACGCGGGAATTCAACTGCTGTGTCTAACAAGCACAGAACAAATAGAAAGTGACGAGTGTCCAGCACAAACCATGAAGCACATTGGCATTACAACAGGACAACATAAAACGTATAACTAGAAACTCACAGCCCCCAGGAAATTGTCACTAGGGTGGGTGTTAGATTCTGTTTGATCCTTTGTGGAAACCAAGTCAGGAATTCTGAGAAAACATGTCCCTCCAGAAGGGCTCGAGCAAACCACCGAACGCTCCATGTGAAGGCCTCTTCTGATCCGAGAAATCGGGCACAAGCTAAGCTGTTTATTGGAACCAGCATAGAGAAATTGGGGAGTTCTAGTTCCCCATTATCACCTTCCAACTCTGAGGCGCACGTGCCGAGGTAGCACACTCGTTTAGCACCAGTGACAACTACATCGTGATCAGCATCATACCGCGGTGTAGGCAACTTGGGCGACCGCTGCATCTTTGCTGGCTCCAAGGGTTCGGTATCAGAAGACACATCCGTGTTCGTCCGGGCTGGATCCGTATCAGCTTGTTTGGTCCGATCACTGCTAAAGGATCCGGATGCAGGACTGAGTTCATCGGACAGCACTACACCTTCAACTTTGTAATTGTGAGGAGCTAGGAAGGGAATCCACTGTGGATCAACAGCGCAAACAGCTAAAATGGAATGTTGGAAAGAATGTGAACGCATATCGGTTGTCATTACACGACCTGATATCAGAAAGTAAAACTGTAGGATTTTTGAAAATTTGAGGAGGGGAGAGTGCACAACACAGATGAGTAAGTACTGCAAATCCAATGTGATGGTGGGACCACATGACAGGGGAAGCTGTGAGCAATTAGGCAACAATTTTTGAACGGGACTATGAATAGGGACACCAACCAGGTGCGATAACAATTTGGGCTCTGTCGTGCTGGCGCTAAGAAGAGACGGGAGCTTCTCCCTAATTGGTCGCATTCAAAGCAAAATCCGTGTTCACCATACTTCGTTCCTGTTCATACCTTATACCGCAGTGACGCTGCAGGATGTTGCACACACTCCCAAAGGGGTCTGCCAGAAACTGAGGCACACGGTGAATATCACCTGCTGTATATTATCAATGTAACCTGATGACATACCAACGTTGTTGTGATTGGAAAACGCTTCATCAGGCGTTCCATTCTAACCGAATTAATGCTTACAGTGTCCCGGCTTTCCTCAGATCTCACGAGTCACTGAATTTAGTTCGACGGGACAAGCAGCGAAAGGGGCGGGGATAAAACCATCATAAAGTCTACCAGCAACAAACTTACTTCGGAGGAAGGGTTTCGAAGTTCGATGAAGCTCAAGAAACGCAATAAAGGGACAGTTCTCCCGAGCAAGTGGAGAGCTGGATTCAATGAATACCGGACCGGAAACTCCGGGTACCTGAACACGAAGAAAAGCACAGAGAAGGTTCGATGCTTGAATGTATATGAAGCACGTAACACTACAACGATCCCTCAAAGGAGTGCTGCCTAAGACTAGAATCTCCTGAGCAGCAGACCGTGGAAAAACAGGCAGTGAGGGGGTTTTCTATTCAGATCCACCAATAGTGGCGTTTGTTCATCCAGCTGACATGCGTAAAAGTGCGCTCCTGACGAACAGAGAATATCATTATGTGTATGTCAAAAGTAACATCAGTGAGCACATCCATGGTTTCCTACGAGATCAACCTTCCTGAGAATTTTAGCGTATTAACTGAATAGACAATAGCGCTAATATCAGCGCAGTAAAATTGATGCGGTATCGCACCTTCCCTCTGGATTAGATGGTTTGGTGCTCGCACAGCATCACCCATCCAAAGGCCCGTAAGAAATAAAGAAAGATTGAGCGATGACTTTGATGAACTAACACAAAAGAAAACGGTTACCACTTCACAACTGGCTACATAACTGACTGGAGGTAACCGAGTAGCATGTAGTGCCTTCTGGTTTACAAAGACCCCGTTTCCATCGACTAAAATCCAATCTGGTCTACGGATGCACGCTTATTTTACATCGAAGGCTACTAATTGACCAGGTAAGTACGAAAATCGCTCACACGCATTCATCTGTGGCAATTTCCTCACGGCGCTGGTTCATTGTGTCGTGAAATTGTACGCACGCGGAAATCCACGGACGCACAGTTTATCTAAATAGCACTTAGTACGACATGGAACCTCTACGGAGCAGGATAGCAGGCGGAAACGGTAAAAACATCGATCTTGAATAAGAATCATTTACAGAGTAATCTTTTCAAAACTTGCGAACTGATGTAAGCTGATTATTTACAGCGTAACCATGATTCAAGGTGGACAGGCACCGCATAGTACTTTTCCCCTTCATGTAAAGTAGTCATGAAAAGCAAGATATACTAGTTGTGGGTGAACTGTCATTTCGCACTTCGGTGACGTCCCGCAGTTCGTACGTGAAGTTGCCTGGCCCGGCATGTTGTGCAGTGAACTCTGCAAACGTTGTCCGCGCGGTGCAGAGTCTTAAGCATCTATAGACGGCAACCGCGTGATGCTACCGATTGTGAATGTGATTATTTTCCCGAAGTTTTCCGAAATACCGTTTCCGCAAGGGCACATTTCGACCACCCGCTATAACATTCGAGTCCGATAAGGCTTACATTACTCAATCAAGCAATCATCTCCCGCCTTTTAGTGAATATTCAAGTATAAGCAGTCTATGGCTGGTCAGTCTTGTGGCAAGCGAAAATCCGCAAGAACGAATAAAAATCCTGTGAATTCAAATTGCATAGCGACACCATCCTTCACACACATCTGTCATGCAGCTCCGAGGATGGAAACGGGCCGAGGAACAAAAGCTTGAAGTGAGGATTGCTCCTATTGATTTCATTTGAAACCAACAATAATGGGTATTAAAACGGCGTGATAATCACTAACCCAGACTCACCTTGTACGCGTAGCGCAGCCTACGCCTATCTTTGGCCGGCAGTCCATCAACTGGAACATCAAACTTACTCGCGACGTGACACGGTGACCCAACGAGAAACAATTGCCGAAGTTGGTTGATCTGATCCCCGGTTGGACGAGGTAGGACCAGGTCGAGTGTCAAGCATAAATCAGGGATGTTTGCATTCACTGAGAAAAATGAAGTGAAATTTCATAAATTATCAGGCGGAATGTGAAAGTAATACAGACGAAAACCGGGACTGGGATAGAAGAGGACTGATTAGGGGGAACTGGAACAGTTAGGAAGTCTGTCGGATCATGCAGTGGATTCGATTGGCTTGGTAACCGAATTCCAGTGAGCAGCATGCAGTGGCTAATATCCGAAATTCGGAAGTGTGGGTGACTGTGTGGATAAGACATCGAATGACTGATAGGTGGTCGTGGCAGTCGAGTGGGAGTTCGTGGATGTCGCGGAGATCAGGTGAAACAAAAAATTGCAACTGGCTGTAAGCACCAAGATTTGAAACGCACACTGATAGGTATAACACACGATCACTTTCAAAGCGATCACCAGTACAGTGTACTGTTTCATTCTCTTCGGACACATCTTGCCCCCACGTTGTGATTGCGTATGCTTGAACTGCAGACAGTCTGGGGGAAAACTGCACTGAAACACATGCTCAGCAATGGATGGAAGACGATTCGATGGTATCAGCCTAGTCTCAACACTAAAGAGCTTATAACTTTGTCTTCCTCACAGTAGAAAAGATGCTTTTTTGCCTGACGGACCCTCAGATATCCCAGGATTTGCGACATCTGGGGAGAATTCGGGACTAAGTCTACTGTGTCTGTTTAGTACGATAACTGGAAATGAGGTAGTAAACAGCTTCAATCCGTAAAGGTACATTACTACTCTTCACGTGTCCCCGAGAACTGCACGGTCCGAAGCGTAGGAACGACAGGTAAGATGTCGATCGTTGAATTTCTGAACTCCAGTCCGTACCATTTACCCCCATGCTACCCTGTTCTGTATTTCTGTTTCTCACGAGAGCATGCCAAACAGTTTTTCAAATTTTGACTGGAATTCAACTGTAGCACCCTTTCGGTGCTTAACTGCCATGCCACCAGAAGGAAGCACAAGGCTGGGATACTGCCAGGTTGCTCAAGCCTAGACAGGGGAGGTCGGGTTCGAACCACGGACCTTGCAGTCAGTAAATTCGCACTCTAACCACTTGGACCATCTCGCCCCCTTTGACTGAAGTGTTCAGATATCGAAGGTTTTGTTTGCCAGGAAACCAACAATCCATATTCGGTTGACCATACAAAAGCTGCTCTCGATTTTTGTTCCCGATCATTTAGCAGACATGTCCCGACCAAAGCAGACAATGGAATGTGATCGCGGCTTTCATTCCATCACAGCGAGCACGTCGAAATGCCTCCGTTTTTGACACTGATTCAGTCAAGTGAACATGGAGCATCCGTCCCAGGCAGTATATCTGAAGGCCATTCAAGCATCGGAGAGTGCAAAGGCGTATTGAGTTTTTGAACTCTGTACAAGATGACGGATAGGACCATCGTCTCGCAAACGTGCAGCTTGGTCTCTATCCACAAGTTCCGGCTTAAATAGACCGGTTCCTCAAGCTTGCCAAAATACGCACTAACCTTGGCAACGCGGGGTCTCAGCTAACGGTCAACGACCATCATCTCTGATATTGGCAACCACACGAAAGGAGAACATGGCTGTTTCACCACAGTACAACCATGTAAACTTATTTCAATAAAGCCTCACAATGGGAAGGGGAAAGCAACGGGACGGGACCTAGGACTAGCCTACCACAATCATCCGAGGTGTAGTAGTCATACAACATAGAGAGAAATTTACAGCATGAACATAAAATCGGTTAGCTGTCATATCGTTCGGTATCTCCAGCCAAGCACAGGGGAGAGGGCACAGGACTCCAGTATGAGAGGTGAACAGCACACAAACGTCATTTTCGGAACTTGCATTCACAATGGTGGTTAGATAGACTGAATACAGCGGATGCAAGGATGCCTGATTGATACCAGTGACAGCACTTAAAATTAGACCTACTTGTTTGCATCTTCACTCTCATCCCGTCATATAAACTTCTGATGGGGCACAGGACTCCAGTATGAGAGGTGAACAGCACACAAACGTCATTTTCGGAACTTGCATTCACAATGGTGGTTAGATAGATTGAATACAGCGGATGCAAGGATGCCTGATTGATACCAGTGACAGCACTTAAAATTAGACCTACTTGTTTGCATCTTCACTCTCATCCCGTCATATAAACTTCTGATGAGAATGACGAATTTGAGTGATAGACGTTTTTAAAATGAACTGTCCACACAACTTATCGGTTGACGGAGCCAAAGGCAATAATGAAATCTATGAAATGGACGGCGATGTTCACGGGATATTTCTTGAGGTAGTTTTGAATACAGCGGATGCAAGGATGTTCACGGGATATTTCTTGAGGTAGTTGTGTAGCAAATATTACGCCCAGCATGGAATCCACACTGCTCTTCGGGAGGGGGGTGCCTCAACCAGTTCAGTTGTCAGTCGGTTCAGTGGCATTCTTGCCAGGAGCTTGCACGAACAACTCAGCAGTTTTTACCTGATGTCTTGTTTCTCTTTTCTTTTGTAGAATGGTCTCACTAGAGCAGCGAGGATTTCGGTGGAACTTCCTCTTTTTAACATATCGTGTTAGCCAGTAGAAAAGCGCTTATATTGTGGGATAAATATCCGAATAATTCAGAGATATTTTTGATGTTTCCTCATACTAAAGCTTGAATCGTTTAAGCTGTCCACAGAAGTTTTTCTATAAAAGGAACGTCATCGACAATCGAAAATATTAGGACTGACCTATTGAGAGTGGCGTGTATTCTTTGTGAGAGAAAGAGAGAGAGATATGAAAATCAAATACCGTTAACTGAGTATCAGAACCTACATATATCAGTCAACTGTCGACGTAACTGGCGAACCTCTTTGTAGGCATTCCACCGTACCCCACAACGTTCCACAAGAAATTTCAAAGCGCCATCTGGATCTTGGCTGACGCGCTTCGTACCGCCACACGCTTCGAAAACTCCCTCCTCTGATGGAGCGAGTCCGTTGAGTTGAGCACTGTATCGTTCCAGACAGCATACAGTTCCAAGAAGGACCGCAAGGTCGCCGAAGTACAAATCTTCACGCTTTTAAAACAGACAAAAAGGGGAACACATGTCAGCTGGTCTATCAGCTTTACAGATTGAGAGGCCACAACTGAATGGACAGATTAGGACTCACGCGCCGGACAAACTGCTGCGCAAAGTTTGTTTGAAACTGTTCTGCGACTGATTTGACGCTTTCGTTTGCCTCACTACTTTGTTCTGGGCTGGGGTTTACATACAGGTCGGGGACGGACAGGGCTGCAACTAAAATTACAGATTGAGAGGTCACAAATGAATGGACAGATTAGGACTCACGCGCCGGACAAACTGCTGCGCAAAGTTTGTTTGAAACTGTTCTGCGACTGATTTGACGCTTTCGTTTGCCTCACTACTTTGTTCTGGGCTGGGGTTTACATACAGGTCGGGGACGGACAGGGCTGCAACTAAAACCACTGCGTACGGCATAAGTTGATGTTGGTTGGCAAATAGCAGCATTCGGGCGAAACGAGCCGGAAGGGGTAAGCGAGCCATCCATCGTCCGGCACGTGTGATGGTATTCAGGGTCGTTGTGCCTGCTTAGGGGTGAAGGTAATGGTGTAAATGAGGGTGCATCGGGGAGGTAGATACTTGTCGCAGAGGACAGGTCGTATGGCGCATTCATAAAAAAGATCGAGTGACTTGAAGTGATACTTCCTCTATGCTTACAGGTCACTAGGCACCAGGTCCTGATAACGGATCATAAGATGTGGGAAAAACGATACTAGATTCCAAACCCATTGGTATCGACCGGAGGCTCAAAGCAAATTCGTAACTCAGGTGGAACTGAGGCGAACATCATCCAGATGGTAAACGATCATTGTGTCAACTGCCTAACATAGCATGGTGCAAAACAACTCACAGCGTGTCCAACTGAATGAAATACATACTACACTTGCACAGAAGTCGGAAAATTCAGCCGAAATTGGTTCATTGGTCTTTGTTAGTTTTCAAAATTTTCTTACAGCAGGATCAATACTCCAGGCTTACCGTGTTGTGTGTGTGTTGCTTGCAATGCGCCCAGGCTGATCAACCGGTGTTCCGCGAATTCGATAGCAGTCGCAGATGGGGACGTGGGTAACGGGAATCTAGACAGTGGAGTGCTTCCCAGATAACTCTGAAAGGCACAGGAGAGAAGTAATCGGGAAATCTCAAGAGGGGAGTGTTAGCAGATCTGAGCATCGAAATATGCAACCAGAGCAGTTTGCGTTCAATCTACTACTGCAGTCTCCCCTTGAAAAGAAGCAACTCCATTGAAACTCAAGAAATTTTCCTCAACCATAGCCTCCGAAATAGGACTTTCTGGTTCCATAAATGGTTGACTTACTTCCCAAGAGGATATACTAGATGTCATTGATCCGTATTCATTTGTTGACTAATACTTCAAAGAGTTTATGCCATAGAAACAGTCGATACACTAATCTGCCGATATACTTACCTTGATCGGATGTGACCCGACCTTAAATACGTCAACGATATCATGGTACGATAAGCAGTTGAAATGATACTTGAATAAAAAGGAAGGTGAAATGTAGATTGAAACAATGCACGATAACTCACAACTTTCCGAGATTCAATAAATCATGTTTTGTTCTTATCGTGAGATCTTACCGTAAACTCAATGATTTTTGCAAAAATTAGGTGTTTAAGGCGGGAAAAAACTGCAGCTGGTGATGTGCAGATTAGTTTGCTCTGGCTATCACTACTAAGAATGTGGGAGCCAATGGTTTAACATTCATGACGGGAATTCGACGGGACAGACCGGAAGCGAGTGATGAAGAGGGGTAGCATCGTCACATCACGTGATATGAACTGGGGTGCCAACGAGGCCAAATTCATCTACAGTCGTTGTTTGATTTCCACATTCTTCAGAGATGATTTCTCAATCCGTTCCAAATAACAGAACACTAATCATGCTTGACTCATACACAGAACCGTTCAGACAACCTCAAGAATTTACATGATAAAACGAAGGTAATTACTCAACAGCGGCACACACAATGAACATCATGTGTTTGCAGCTGCGACCAAGGACAGTTATGTGTCCTGTCTCTGATGAAAAGCAAAACTGTAACCTCTTTGCAGTGATTTCAATATGGATGTAGAGGACATCGAAAACCTGTCGGGGAACAGTGTTTATTCAGATGCACTTTCCAAAAAAAGCTGTCAGGCATCTAACAAGACAAGCCAATCAATTTCACTCCGTCCAACCGATTTCAAAAATGAGCAATTTAAGATTTAAAAAGAAGTTCAAGGAAGCGACCAAACTAACGCACCAAAGAATGGGAAGCAGGATGGGATGACAGTTTTACGTGACCAATGTTTTGTTCGGACCACTATATCGTCGAATAATCTAATTTAAACATGACTAACTACAAGAACTGAGCAGCACACAGAAAACCGTGCCACTGGAACCTACCTTGAGCATAAGAACAACTTCATCGATGGGACGAGTCAGGATGTCAGGAACAGCGAACTGGTTCATCGAAGAGAACACCTGAGAACTGTAAAGTCGATAACACTGGCCAGGAGCGACACGACCGGCACGACCTGCTCGTTGTTCAGCCGAGGCTTGACTAATCCATACAATTTCGAAGCTGGATGCACCGGTGGCCGGATCGTATACTTTGGTTTTCACCTGAAACAGAGGTGGAGTTAAAACCAGAGAAAACGCTGAAGTATGAACAAATGCAGGCTCATTAGCCACAGTGATAAGACAAAGTTACAGAGAAAGAAAGTTGTGCATGTGAGCCAACTCGCGGTTACACAACACAACCGCAATAAAAAGTTATTAGACTTATGCTTAAACAATGCTGGTCAGAAGGGACTCCTAGAATCCGCCGAAAAAAAAGTCTGGAGTATTTATGCCTATGTCCAACGGCCAGCAGTGCAATAAGAAACTCAAAGCGTCGCAGGTGCTCACTTACATAATCTTAGTTAATAATCTTCAAAACCGAATCGGACACTTTATCACCACGTAGTATTTCACAAAAGCAGTCCCCAAAGCAAAAATAGAGGTGTTCTTATGTTGCCTGGATATACCACAGACTCAGTGCTCTCATGGCTTTCTGAAGATCCCAACCGCACTGGTTTCTCCTACGGAGATCAGAAAGAATCCTCCACCCCTAAGGGCGTTTCATGGGTTGCGGTAATGCACCTATTATTTAGGGAACGAAAAAAACGGGACCAGATCATCTTATTCACACGATCCATTGTTAGGATGGCAGGTGAGATTTCAGCCAACGTGAGTCCATAGTTGGCTTGAAGGATCGAGATGGTTCAGTGGTCAGAGTACGAATTTATCAACCGGAAGGTCCGTGGTTCGAACCCGTTTTCTGCTTCTGGACTTCCCCTGTCTAGGCTTGGGCAACTGACAGTATCCCAGTCCTCGTGCTTCTTCTAAAGTCATGGCAGTTAGGCAACGAAAGGATACTACAGTTAAACGATTTTTTTAAGAATCATCGAACAGTTGCCTCTGTTCGCATTGTTGGCGAACTCCAGACTTGGCCGGGTTGGGCAGCACTGTAGAAACAGACGAAAGCCAGTGTGCTACCAATGGGGTCGGAAAAAGAAGTTGCTTCTTGAAAGGGGATGCTATTCGGCATTTTAAAGTACGGCTTCATCGGTAGGCACAGAAACGGGATCCGAACACCCTCGGAGACCACTGAAAGCTACGCTGTAGGTCCCAACAGGATGAGGGAAAAGAAGGAAAAAGGCAAACAACAAGGCGAAAATATGCCTTTACCCTTAGAGCAAAACTAACCTTTCCAGAATCGACCACAAAACGAATGTTCGGAATGGTGAGCGAAGTCTCGGCTACATTGGTCGCTACTACCACGAGACGATGTCCTTCTGGTGGCGTTTCGAACACCAGCTGTTGCCTTTCGGGAGACAATAGGGAATAGAGTGGAAGAGCCCGAATGGGAACCTGGAGGAATTGAGGGAAATTCGAGTCGAATATCAGAGGAAAACTAGTAGATGGTTCGCTGCAGCAAAATGTAAGAACATAAGTTTGAAACAAGTAACAGCATGTTCACCTGTATGGCTGATATGGTGGAATGAAGGACGGAGAAAACGGATTAGTTTTACTTGAAGACCATATATAACCTATTCTCATAGTGAAGAAGCGGAGCTATTGTTCACGTGAGATGAGAACGAGATGACACGGGTTTAAGGGTTCCTCGAACTAGAAAAGGAAAATAATTGAAAAAGATGTGTCAACGCAGATGTCCATATTTTTCCGCGATACTCTGATTGCCATCACATACTGTTCCTTATACGTCATTTCCTGGAAATCACAAGTGCGGACGGTGGTCCATCAAACAAAACAACTGTTCTGAAAGAATGCTCTGTTCAGATGGGTCATCCTCAATACCTTAAAGGACTTTTGGAAACCGCACTTCACTTCCTTACAACCGTAATTTACTTAAGGGAGAACAAAGAAGAAAAAAACTACTGCAAGCCTACAGACATTCACCTAAGTGCACACAGCACACTATAAGTGGGATAGCCACACAGATCTGAAATATGTCTCTCCCGTTTTCATTGGTAGTCAGTCGCTAAAGAGCTGTGAAGAAGAGTAACGTTGATCGCGGTCTAGTCGGCAGACCATCGCCAGCAAGCAAGATCTCCGGTGTCATCCTTTCGAGCACTTCAAATTTCACTCAAGATTAATCTCAATCACATCCGTCTTATAGCAAACTGGCGAACACCCAGTCACGGAAAACGTATGCATCAGTCAGAAAGCTTTAAAAAGCAAAAAGGAAGCGCAAGGAAGTGTTTGTGCCAGTGTGAAACTCTTCGTTAAAGATGACGAAAATATCGAACCGATAGGATTTAGACTGTTCCCAAATACAAGTAAGTTGAAATATGTGGCAGAATAAGCTAACATACGGCTGTGATGTTCTTCCGAGACGTTGATATTTCTTGCAGAACATCATCGTCATCTTCAATCTCTTCCAAATCGCTATCGACTTGCTGGTTACCGGTGTCTTCGGGCGGTTCCGCTTTTTCTGAAGTTCGTGACGAGGGCTTTGATGGGTTTTCTGAAACATGACGTACGCTGCCCAACTCTGTCTCTTCATCCATGGGTATGATATCAAAACTGTGGGGAAGGAGGAGGGAACCGATATCTCTAATTACATTGCTTCATAAAAAATTTTCATAGCAAAGGTGAAAAGTAAGCTAGGTAGTGTACGCTCAGTGCACGGAAGAGGAGTAATAATATCCTCCCTTTTTTGACGTTGATTTGAACCATCATTCAACAATCAACTGCACGAATCACACCCGCAAAGAGGAAAGAATAACACCATCGGTGCATACAGACGAGATCTCATCGTTTAATTGTGAATTACTTGCCAAGCTCGGCGAATAGGTCATCAGCCATCTGGCCAACAACCCACTTTCACAAGCAGTTGTCAAGCCAAACTGAACACTACAAGAAATTTATTCTTAGAGTGCATGGGGTGGGTAGTGGGTAAATGATCTTGGTGATGCTCGACCAGTTACGCCAACTGATGAGAACTCCATGCAAAGACGTTTACAAAAGGTGCACAAATTTGTCGTTCTTTTTCAGATACTTGATCTGAGTTATGTGATCACCACTCGAATGTCTTCTTAGCACTATCCACCTTAGAGAGAAATCTTGATTACAGCAGGTTGGGATCACACGAAGGTAGCGTACTTGCTTACTTGTCTAAATTGATACGTGACACTGTTGAATTTAATTCGGAAGTTGATTCATTCACATTTGCAAGGCTATCGAGGTCCTCCGATTGCTGGTAGGCTTTTTTGTTCTTGCGCCGTCGCTTCGCCTCTCGACTGATAACATTTGCGGTGGCGGTAGCAGGAAAGGCCCGAGAGAGCCAGCTACAGAGTGTGAGTACTTCTCGCTGTCCTGTGAGAAAGACCAGGATTCCACCAGCCGGAGCGTTCTCGTGAATTTGCACTACCTGCGAAGATAAAGACAGGGTGGCAACTCCATATACACTAAAAACAAAGATATTTGAACGGTGGCTAAGTGCGGCATAGGTACCCATTCACTTAGTAGAGCGAACTATCTTGAACGCACTCGCCAGTAATTGGAACAGCTGGCCTTGGTGTACCGATATTCTTTAGTCTGTATGAACTTGGTAATTGTCCAGATGGCTGGAGTTCATCATCGACTGTGGTATCACCGGAAGAAGCCAACCGAAAACATGCATTCTGTGTTTCGATAAGAATCCGAATCTTTTCACAGATTACAAAATCAGCGCTCTAGAAGATACTGGTGATGACTCTGTGGATAACGCTGACCATGAACTACTAATGTTCATTTGAACCAACCAACTGCCCACGAGTGAGTTCTACTGATGCGACCTATGCACATGGTAGTGGGATAAGGGAGATGAAAAAAAGTTCGCCTTATACACTAGACTCTAGTGACTGAGGATAACCTGAGTATGGAAGTATCAATTCTAGCTATGCTACAGAACTAGCGTCACACGTTGATAACTAGGCCTATCTTGAACAGACGAAAACGAAACAGCTATCCGAATGGTTTGTCTTTGGGGGGAAGCTAGTGAAATGGCAATCAACTTGCTAAACTCTTGGGATCAGATAACACAGAGGCAGGGGACAACACACACCTATAGAAATAATAGCAAATGAAATGAAAAAGAACTCACTTTGCGGAAAGCTGCTTTTAGATAGTCCGGTTGTGTGACCTTTGCAAAATGACAGGTGACAGGAAATTGCCGGGACTCAACTTGAATAACAGGTGGAGGACCATTTGGTGATGCGGGAAACAAACGAATGTTCTCGGAGAAATCCGAAACCCGTAGCGTGGCTGACATGATGATGAGCTTCAACGGTGGAAGGACTGTGCCCCGAGTGGGTGTACCTTCCGCGTGACGGCGACGACGCAGGCGCAGTATAAGGGAGAGTAAACCCAACAAGACATCAGTGTAGATAGATCGCTCGTGCGCCTCGTCTACGATGATGACAGAGTAGCGTGACAACTCAAAATCCTAGGACAGAAACAAGTGAAGGTCAAATTCGGTGTTTTAGAATGCCACTTGCAGATAACAACCAACAGTCTGCCAAACGTACCTGCTTTACTTCTTGTAGCAACACACCGTCAGTCATGAACTTGATTTCTGTTCCCTTGACCACCGTTTTCTCATAACGAATGTGGTAAGACACCTGGCTGATAGAGTTTCAAGTGCGAAAGAGATAGAGGATTGGAACTTAGACGGCAATCATAGAACGACTAGCAAAAACCACCTAACGCTGAGTTCACTTACCCAGAGGATAGGTTAAGTTCTTCACCGACGCGTTTGGACATTGATATGGCTGCGACTCGACGAGGTTCAGTAATACCGATCATATAACCATCTCTGAAAGTGAGACAAAATAAAACAAGAAATCATTCAGATGGTTTGGAAAACAGCTAGGATAGCATATGTTGGTAATGTCAGCCAATGCAAAAATCGAATCCGCCATCATCTACACCAGATTGCTGATGCTGAGACCAATCTCTTTTAGGAAATGAATTCCGCAACCCTGACTGGTTGTTCAAACTTTGCAGACCGTCCGATATTGTGTACGATTTCCTGGGTGGTACTCAACTCACGTGAGTAAACAGGAATTCCCACACATATAGGGGTTTCAGGATCAAAATTTAAGCCAAGTAGCAATAGTTTGCAAAAAGAGAGGCTAGAAAGGAGGAGAGAGAGGATAGAAAGCCAAACCCGAATGGGGGTCACATAATCCCTCTTCCTTGCTCAGCAACCGTAGATTAGCCCATCCACACAGAAGGACAGAAATTGTAAACAACATTCAAGAGTGATCTTCACGTGAAGCAAGCCGGACCCTAGGCTGAACCCAAATCCATGCAATTCCCCCATCGCCCTTAACACTTGTTGACCCATCCTGAAAAACAAAATTCCTTAGCCGACGCCTAGCACCGATTTAGCTCGACAAAACTGATTGGTTTTCCTTAACCTTGACCAACCTCGTAACCTGAACACTTATTCTGACGGAACCTTTGTGTCAAAAGCGGAACGTTGCTCAGCAATAGCTCTGTCGATTGTTCTTTCAAGCCACTTCAAAAAATTAAATGTTCACAAGGACAGCAATGAAGTTTGCTTCTTCGTAACCGTTGTAGTTCCAAAATTACTGTTGATCACTGCAAGAAGTAAAAGAAGTCGCAATTGATCGGTCGATGTAGCACATGTTTTGAACACAACCGCATCCGGTTGAGCTTGATTCATGTGCAATTGGAAGCAATGACGTTGGGGCGCAGGTCTACAAACACTTTTGAGTAGTAAGAGGACGTACCCAGAACAAAAAGTAAGTGTTTTCCGCTACTCATAAGGGTGCTGAAAATCCGTCGACAACCCACGACCGGTTTCGCCCTTCTCGGGACTCACCAGGCAGGCGCACTCCCCGAGTTTCCGTCAACCCTATGCTCTAGTTGAAACCAAATTGCACGAAATTAGCGAAAAACACTCATTTGCAAACTAATTTGGTTCTGCGAGAGACTCACCTGGAACCCAGCTGAATCTCGCGTTTGTGATGCTTCCGGGAAACTGATTCACATGAGTCTCCCGTGAAAACCAAATTAAAAATGAGTCTATTTGTCGCAATCAGTCCAATTTGGTTTCAAGTAGAATATAAGGTAGACGGAAAGTCGGGGACTGCGCCTACCTGATAAGCCCCAAGAAAGGCGAAGTCGGTCGTGGGCTGTCGAGGAAGCTTCAGCAACCTTATGAGTAATGTATTACGAATATACATGTATCGCGATATCTCGAATATCGTAGCGACTGAAACATGAGGCAGCACATTCCGTTGCCTAGAAACATCACAAACGAGAGATTCAGCTGGGTTCCCGGCGAGTCTCTCGCAATACCAAATTAGTTTGCAAATGAGTGTATTTCGCCAAATGCTTTCCGGTTATGAGTCAAACCGAAGCTAAAATAAAAAGATTAACCTTGAGTGAAGTGAAATAGTTATGATCGTTCATACTGGCTTCTAACAGCCATAATTTCTGGTGAGATGGACAAAGGGAGCACAAATTTCCAAACTCACAAGTGCTTTGCTTGGAGAACAGTTGCTCGTGCGAAATAAGGTCAACGTAAGCTAAAAGACGAGAACGACTGTTTTCTCCTTGTTGTCGACCGTCTCCGGTTTGACTGACTCACAATAGCTTCTAGCTACATGTGTTCAGTCCGTTTCAGTTGGCGGAAATTTTGCACAAAAGAAATGAAGGCACCAAAGCGGCTTTCCGTCAACATGCATCTGTAGCCACAAAGGTTTCACCAAGATGTCTTCACTCACAATTTCTGTTTGATTGACCAGTGTCTTGCCGACGCGCAGACCCGCTTTGACGGTTCGTCTTTCACAACGACCGCCCTTATTTTGACGGCAATAAGACGGACTTTTGGCTGATTTCAGTTACCACGAGTCTGTGGAATTGGCACCCGAATGACAGCTTACACGTGCCCGTTTGTATTCCTTGATGTGTGTAAGAACTTAGGATGAAACTGAATAGGTCGGTCACCATTCCACCTTTCTGGAGTAACACGGTACCAGGCAATTCGCATGTAAACCCCACCCGAAGGTATATATGCAAGCTGGGCTGATTGAAACAGGAGAACTATATAGTGTATGGATATGGAGCCCGTCATCAATAGTCCGTCGAGAAGAATATGAGAATATGATAACACGAGCTGTCGCGCATGAATCAAAGGGCTTGAAAAGTTGAATGTCTTCGTGCCGATCCTACAGGTGTCCTACTTGATGATCGCCTGAGGCATCCGACACACACCATTCAGGTATGCTCGCTGCTTCAAGCGGGGTGGTTCGGGCATCCAGACTGTGGTGGCAGCAGGTTCGGTTTGCAAATTTAAATCCCGGTATGACACAGCAGAAGCGTTGCTGATGAGTTTTAGTAAGAAATTCAAGCCTAGTATCGCTGGCTTAGTCTGGCTGGAATTATCACGTCAGACATGATAAAAATTCGGATTAGGTTGAGATGGATATAGATCTGGTCGGAAAAGAAAGAAGTCGCATGATCGTACGTCAACGCCGAATACGTGACTAGAGAATGGGAGCACTGAATCCTGTTTAAGTGTAAGTTAACAGTGCTGCTGATAAGTCGCTCGCGGTTGAACATGATACTCAGCTTCTAACTGGAGGGCCATGGATTGGAATGTCTTGTAGTATTCGTGAGGCGCGCACTATTAAGGATTTTGGTTTTTATCCTAAATGAGCTTCGCCGAATTTCAGTTGGAAATTCCCGAATCTCCTAACATAGACCAGTAATCTACATAAAATGTCTAAGACAGAGGCTGTAGGTCAAGGCGTAGTGAAGAAAAACTCGCAAGCAACCGATTAGTCTGGCACATGTTTTGAACACAACTGCGTCCAGTCGAGCTTGATTCATGTGCATGGTGGAAAATCTCCAAATAAAAGAAACAGTTCACAAAAAGATGTATTCTAACCTTTTGGGCACAGTAAAAAACTTTGGGAATGAGGAAACCGATAACCTAACGCTGACTACAAAAAACAACTCCAGTAAACAGACATAGGAGTACAGAAGAGGTGGGATCACTTAGAGGCATGCTAGTCAAAGTATTGTTCTCGTTAAAGAGAAGAGGTCTAGTTCCTCACTGAATCATTCTGGTTCTTCCTTACTCAATCCACACAGAAAGCTGGCGATGGACTCTGAAAGTCACTGTTCACAATTAGACGGCCCGTGCAGATTCTGCGGAATAGATGAAATCGCGACTGATGCTTTCGTCGTTCGAGTGAGCCACCCATCAGTCTCCAGCTGAGTCACTAGGAAGACCGTCAGAACTCATGGGCTACAAATGCATATCGCTTTATGAAGCGAATGTATCGAATCGTAGACTGCATAACTCACCGGCCAATGATAGCAACAGCTAGCACGGCCTTCAATACAACGGATGATTTTTACCAGCTGGGACAATTACCAGACTGACCTAATCGAGTGTGTAGGTCATCAGGGCCGGGTAATGCCCACAGATCATCTGATGGTATGGCACATGTTTTGAACACAACTGGAACAAGTTGCGCTTGATTCATGTGCGTGCAGGCATGGGATAAGACTTACAAGAGGCCGGCCTCGACAAAGAAGAGCAGCAAGCGCGGATGACAGAATTCCTACATTTGGAATAGACTGATGGTAAACATGTACCGAAAAGGAGGTTGTCAAACTCTGTCGAAGGTTATCTGTTCAAAGGGTTACAGGAAATGGGCCGGGCAACCGACTCTATCAACAGCAATAAAAAGGCTTTACTTAAGCCATTCTTAGGAAATAACTCGTCCTAAATTTGTATGTGATGGCTAAACTTGTACCACCTCCTCTCAGCAGTTCATATCAACCTTGAGCAACGTTCGAAGACTGCTACATTTCCCGTTACTTCGGATCAATTTTGAACCGAGAGAAACAACACCATTATCTACTTACGCCCCTCCCCCAGAAATTCAAGCTCCATTAAGGATTCGTTCACTCGGTTTATCGATTATCCACATCAGAGCAAAACTGGTCTCATGTGCGTTCACCTCATCCTACAGGCATATAGTAAATAATATCCTCCAAACAGAAAAAACACCGAAATACGACGTGTGAGGTGGATGCTAGCCGATTATTCACAAGTAAAGTATTTTCGCACAGTTCAACCAAATCATAGGGCTGAAATAGCTTCGTATTCATTTTAACATGAAGACTCCCTGATAGTTACTACATCGCCCATGGGAGTCGCACAGTCAAAACTGGGTTCGCATTGAACTGAATGCAAGTCACGAGATGAATTCATGAAAAAAAACAATCTGCCGAAATATTCCAGAAAACCAGTGAGTGGTTGTGTAATAATGTGGTCTAGAAACGAGTTCTTTGCAACTGATGCGTGAGCTACTGGCCTTACTGTATTTCCTAAAATAAACGATTCAGACATTTTCATCGCTTGTTCCCTTGTTCCAAATACTGAACTAATGGTACTCATTCGATTTCACTGATTCCGATTTTCCTATTTCTGATCCTGACGCCGGTCGATATTAATTGATACACTATGGGCGTCGACGTAGCCATGCCGTTCTACGATGATCCCTGTGTTCCAGAAGTACCAGTACCTATCTACAATTTGACAGTGTCAGTGTCAGGAAACTGTTGCCTTCATCTTAAATAAATGGTCGAGCTATTCGGTATTTTTGTGATATGAAGATGTAGACTTGCGTGTGTCTGTGAGTCATATAATCGAACTATGATCGAACTATTTGCTGTGATTCCGTTCTGCATACGTTCATTCCAATCCAAATTCTATTTTCATTTTAGGCGTTAGGTATAATGGACAATGTCTCTTCACACTAAATTAATAGAACAAGCTATGGAGATGGCGGGATAGGCGTTCTATTCAATATAAGACCAGTAACATGTGTAGGTGGGGCGAGATGGTTCAAGTGGTTGGAGCGCGAATTTACTGACCGGAAGGTCTGTGGTTCGAACCCGACTTCTGCCTCTCGACTTCCCCTGTCTAGACTTGGGCAACCTGGCAGTATCCCAGCCCTCGTGCTTCCTTCGGGTGGTGTGGCAGCTGGGCAACGGAAGGGTGTTACAGCTGAATGATATATATATATATATATATATATATATACCATGTGTAGGTGAGGGAAGTATGTTGGTGGTACACACAGGTGATAGGTTACATGCTGTTGTGTCGGGAATAAGGACGGGATTATCACTGCGACATTTTTCACAAAACTCAGAATATGTGTTTAGATTACTAAAGTGTTGGATTTCCACTTGTTTAATGAAAGCCTTCTGTTGGAATTCCGGCTACGAGATACGTCAAACGCCATCGGCAGTGAAACACTCCTGTTCCCATTTAGCGTTGCAGCCATGATGATGGCGATGGTGGACCTCGTTTTTTGTAGCTACTGGCAAGTAAGTAGGCAAAGGTTGCAGCCAAAACAGTTACATTCGTTACCGTACATTTACTCCCAGATCAGTGGTCAGAATGTTTTGAAACTGTGAGACTCGATGGAGCACACGACGCTGCTCTGGAAAAGTGATTCGATAGATGCGATTGTCATAACGAATTTCTGTATTTCAGAATTGGCCCGAAATACCGGGAAAAACAAATTTCTTCCAGGCACTTCAGGCTGACTAAGTTGCTCGATTATCGTTTCACAAACTTATGATTGGAATAAAAGAACAGTGAATCGAATTTCAGCCACATCAAACTCCAAAACTCATGAAGAAATGACCCGAATTCCAAGCTAAGTGTGAACCGATACTTGCAAAACGGTAGGCATTCTCTCAGTGGAACCAGTAAAGCCTGACACAATCGAATTGGCTTCTGGGACATACGACACTAGCAATGTCAGTTGGCACTTCACTTTTCAAAAACCATGACACAACTGGTGCACGGAAGTACACTATGATCACAAACAGCGGTGATTTTTGCTGCACTGCTTACGCCGGTGAAGCAAGTCCAGCCCTCATTCTGACTGTGAGGTTCGTTTGCCTCTCCTTAAAACAAAAGTTGATCAATCCTTATTCAAAGGTCAGACTAATATTAGAGAGACGTATAGCACGCAGTGGTTACCACACAGGCGTCCGTTTTATGGGAAACATCAAGCGAAAATCAGCCTATTTGTTGGGCTGAGGCCCCAGCACCCCAAGATAATGGGCCCGGCAAATCATCCAATCAAGCGTGCTCAGAGCTGAAGTGTACCTACTCAAAATAACCCTATTAAATAAACGATGGGAGGACGAGAAAACCTGTTTATCAGTGAATTTCCGGAGCATTTCATGCGCCGGATGTCAAGTCCACGCTCACCAGACTGCCGGATAACGAAAAGGCTCAGTTCTACCCACAGAAATACGAATTTTTCGAGATGAGTTAAAGTAATATACTGAAAAGCGTATAGAAAAAACTCACTTAGAATAGCCTGCCTCGTATAGAAACTGTGGGACCTGCGTGGTTTTCCCGCAACCAGTGGCTCCACATATGATGATGCAATCATTTTGACTAATGGCCTCCATGATGGTTGCTTCATCCGCTATTATCGGTAGGGTTAACCGCGCAGCAACCACATCAGGTGTCCTTGAAACCAGAACGTAGCGAGCAGGCTTCGGACTAGAGCAACATCAAGTACGAAACCACAAAACGCTTACGTTTCTTGAGGAGCCTCTGTCGGAACTGGTGGCTCTGGCGTGGTTTTCAGGCACGACTGTTCGGCGACAGGCCCAGTGAGAACCGCTGGCGATGACGCTGTTTCCTGAGATACCGAAGGCAAAGAAACGTCCATTTTTCCAGAATGATTGGACTCTTCATCTGTGCTATAATCATCCGTACTTCGAGATTCATCCGATACCGGTGTTGGTATGCCTTTCCATGACTTACCTTTCTTGAACTGACTTGAACTGTGTAGAACATTAGTGAAAAGCGTCAACGATTACTTTTCACTCTTCCGTTTTGCCACCTTCCGCGTTCTTTGGAACAGTGGAAGGACCGAAACTTTCGATTCTGTTGCTGCAGGAGATTGCGCGTTGTTCAGGTTCTCAAGTTCCTTCCACAACTCCCCTCTCTAAACACCACAAGCTAGAATCACGAAGGGGTAACTCACAGACAGCTTCTTTTGTTTCTGAGCTAATTTCCGTTCCAACTCTTTGCGCTTTTTCTTTGAAAGAATTTGAGACTGAACTTCATCTCGACGCTTCAAACTTTTAACTTTGCTATCACTCTCCTTATTCAATTTGGCAGGGAGTACCAATGGATTGGAAGGGTCGTATTGCGTTGGGTCGTAACTGAACTCGATCTATGAGTAATAAAGTTGACCCATAAGAAGAAAAAACTGCTGTACCAAGTTCGGCTTGGACGACTCCATCAAAGTGCTGGCGGAAAACAAATCTGAAAGCAAAATATTGACATTTAAGCGAGTGTTACAGAGGCTGCAGAGATGACTGGTGGATGATCATATATGAATTTATTAAAGCTTGCGAGTACCCAGGCCGTGTAAAACCGAATACGCGGTGCGATGCCCCGCAAGTTGGTCGGTTGTCGTTGCAGTTAAGCTCTAGATAGACCGAAGGCTAGCTACCGCTCCATAGGCTTGTGATTTTGACTGCTCAATGTGACTGCATTTTAGCTCTTGCGCTTTCTCCAGGTTACATGGCAGTGGCGCATCAAGAAAAGAACCATTCTAGTCTGTGGCAAACTTTCGCCTGAGTGCGCCTTTTTGATTAGCGTTGGAGAAGGCTGTCACCCTTCCTTTTATGTTCGTTAGTCCAATTCTAGACCTGTTTGTAGCATCTCTGGAGTCGAAGCATTCCGGGGGAGGACGTCCGTATACATATGGTGAGATGGCAGTGGCTCTGGAAAGTAGATTTCTGTCACGCTAATCTTGATGGTCCTGCAGCTAAGCTGTTGATCCCCCACTTCACGACCCATTAAACAAATATTACGATTGCGCCGACTGGCTCATAATAGTAACAATAGTGAAAATAATAACTGATAAACATTTCAGCTGCAGTGCCCCTCCCGCGTATAGCTACCATGTAACACGATGGAAGCATAAGAGCCTAGATGCTGATAGGCTGCCTAAGCCTAGACAGGAAGAATCGGAAAGCCAGACGTTCCGATCAGCGGTTTGGCACCTTAAGCACTGAACTATCTCAAACACAATGGGTAGCTGCCACGCCTTTCCTATCTTCGGCGAGCGAAACTGTAGTGGCTGGAACCGCTGAACCTTGAAGTGAGCCGTCTTCACGTAGAGCAACATTCCCCTGCGATCCGCGCGACATCTCATACTCCAAAATATGGACCTACCATCTTTTATTTCGACCATGCTTTAACTGCTGCACAAATATCCGAGAAGCAGGATTCTAAAACACGCACCTATTCGTTCACTTTCAGTCTGATGTAAGCCACAGTGTTTCCTTTGGCTATTGTCGGAGTGGTTGGTGGAGCAGTCTGACGGCTGATTGCACAAAACCTTCCGATCGTGAAGCAACTGTACCCAGAATAATTTAGTTTACGGAGCCGACTTCTACACTTTCACTCGCTCCAGCAGTGTCCTATTAAGTCGTATGGAAGACGGTTTTTCATTTGATTTCTAGAATTACTGGGACTCATATAAACGGTTCACTGATCTAGAAAAGTACCGATCAAGGTTCGAGGGATCAAGCTTCAACAGGGTTTTGAGGAGCAGTCTAGTACTGTCTAGTTTTTCCAACATTTCTCCAGAAACTCTATTTCACTTTGGATAGTTGTCTGGGAGGTTCCAGAATATTAAATAAGACAGCCACATCACACGTGCTGAGATTGCGCAGACCGGACTACGCTGTTTAGTAGTACTCCACAACCAGAACGGAAGGCGACGGAGCTGACAGGGTACCTCGTACCTGTTCTCCACTTCTGGCTGACTAAATAGAAACACTCGATAACTGCGATTAGTGATTACACCTGCGTTGAGTTCGATAATGACACTGCTGAGAGCTGCCTCCATAACCAAAGGGATCTATAAACGAAACCGAATCAAGACCGAACTGAAACGAACTAACGCCCTGTATACAATCACTTAACACAGTTCCCCTTCCTTAAAAATTATTTCAGACAGAGGTTTAGCTTGAAGTCAAATAACGCAAGAATCGATTACGCTTAGTTCACAGATTCACAGATTGATACACAAGATTGAGGCATTCACCCTTGATTCCCAGGACGGGTTTATTCTTGTTGTTTAGCCGCTCTGAAAGGCATAAGCAGAAAAAGAGTGTAGCACTGCCCTTAAAGTTCTTAGTGTGGGGCAGTAATCCTCCCAGTGCGAAGACTCGACTAAAAACGTCTAAAAGTGATTTTAATTGGGTATAGATGCAGCCTGAACAACCTTTAGAGGTAGGTTATTCCGCGCACGAACTATCGAAATGAGAAAAATTGCTGCCTGATAAAGGTGTCTGCTCTGAGCCTGAAATTCTTATCATGTCACCGTTGTGTGTCAGTTGGGTCAACAGTGAAAAACCTGTTGGCCAAACCTTGTTCATACAGGGCATAAGTAAGCATTAGGTTGCCTCGGAGGCAACTTCACTCCAGAAGGAAGAAGTCGAGCACCGTGAGATGCGTTTCATAGTTCGCGTATTTAAGGCCGGTAACCATTTTAGTAGCAGCTTGTTGGATACGACCAACCAGGGTTACGTGTTTCGTGCGTCTGAGTAGACAACTTGGCTGGCATATTCAAGGAGCGGTCTGACGCAGCCCCCATCCAGCGTTTGGAGGTTCATGCGAGTAATACGAGAGAAGCCTCACTGAATCATTCGTCGAACGGCAAACACCTTTTGAGCCAACTTTTCGTGGTGCAGTGGGAAGGACATGTTTGAAGACAGCCAGATATCTAAATCATTTTCAATATCTATCCTCGCTTCCACTCAGCACAGAGCTGAGAGCAATCGATTCTGCTAGGCAGACGGTCTTCTAGCATGCGGAGTACGTGTCTCAACCGGCGTAGCCTATGAAGCTCGAGTAATTCGTCTACCACGGGAGAGTTCCTTCTCCCCGAGACCATTTGGCGTATCTAAGCAGTGCTAATTCGATGTTCCCACCAGACTTGGTCAGTGCTTCGAAGGCACCGGTGGGTAAACACCGACATCTTTTGTATGTCTCCTGCGCGTAGAGGCCACATCTCTGATCGGGAAAGCAGTATGATCGTATCGACGCAGTGTGACCTCTTCCCTTGACGGACGAACAGACGTCACATCAGTGCCATAGGTGTCGGAGCTTGTCAAAAGCTGCCCTGACGTTTCCGATCTGAGAAGTAATCCCGTTTCCAGCCAGTTAACCGGAGCCTATACAACTGTCCAAGTGAACAGATTTATCTACCACGTCGATTGGCTGGCCTGCAAGTGTGAGGTTTGGGTCTGATCCAACCCATCTTGTAGCGGCACTTTACAGTTTACAGGTGTGAAGCGCATGCGAAACCGTGCGGCAGAGTTATGTAGTTTATTTGAAATCGTTTGCATTTAGGAAGGATCTGAACCAAGAAGAGGAATATCGTCTGAATACTTGTCATGAATATTCTTTGTGCTCACATTATCGTTTTGTATTATCCATGCTTTCGCCTTCATTTTCAGCTTATATACGTCTATTCTTAGACAAGTAAAGTGCTATTCATTCTACGCCATTCATTCTTGTTCTCGCACTCAATCAGAATCGATATTCTATTCGCAACAATCTACTTGTCTAAGAATACAATGGAATCGTCGCTGCGACCCAAGTGTTTCGACGCAGATCCTAATTCTCCAGACGCAACAACGCGTTAGAATCATTGGTTCCGAACCTTTCTAAACGTTTCTGGGCACTGTCGAATCGCCCAATCTAAATAAACTCGAAACTCTGATCCATTTTGTGGATGCACCTGTATACGTTTATATCGCTGACTGTCCAGATTACGAATCAGCTATCAGTGCACTTGAAAAGTTGTACGTTCGTCCAAAGAATATAATTTATGCTCGCCATCTTCTACAAACTTGCAAACAAGACACCAGTCAAGATGTTGATCAGTTTGTTCAGAGGCTTAAATCCTTGGCCAAAATTGTGATTTCAAGGCGGTGTCCGCCATTGACCATCAAAGCGAAAGTGTACGCGATGCTCTAATCAACGGACTTCAGTCTACTACCATCAGAGAACGACTTCTAGCTCAAAACGAACTCACTCTCGATGAAGCTCATGAATTGGCCAGGTCATTAGAATTGGCCCACAAACAAGCTCAGTCATACTCACATAACCAGGCGATATCATTTTCTGCGGCTGCAGCACCTTTACAGACATCTACAGTTATCCCTTCACACTCAAACTCCCCTGATTCTACACCCTATCTCTCGTCAATCAGTTCTCAGATATGTTACTTTTGTGGTCGTTCCAGACATCCACGGTCAAAGTGCCCCGCAAGAGAAGCAGTTTGTAAATCATGTGGCAAAACAGGCCATTTTCAGCGTGTTTGTCGATCCAAATCTGTAAAGTGTCACTCAAATTGCACAACGGATTCGGCCTTATCTTCCCTGTTGACTGCTGCGGCCCCGAACTGCTTGTCTCGCACGGTGACCAGCATAAAGGTGAACGGGATATCGCTTCAGGCCCTCATAGACACAGGAAGTTCGAGCAGTTACATATCTCCTTTGGTGGTTGGTAAACATGGCTGGAAGGTATATGCTAACAATTCTGTGATTACCATGGCATCTACCTCTCTGACGTGTTCAACTAGAGGCTACTGCTACGCATCCATCGATTACAGGGGCACCGTTTACAAAAAGATCAAACTATTGGTATTACCCAATCTATGTGCTGACCTGCTGCTAGGCCATGACTTCCTTGGTCTACATAACAAAGTTGAAATCACATTCGGTGGGGACCGAGGTCCATTCACCCTCTGCGGTCTACCTGCTGCTGCGGTCGAGTCACCTCCTCTTTTTGCTAACCTCTCACCCGACTGCAAGCCTGTTGCTACAAAATCGCGACGTTATAATCCGGACGATGAACAATTTATCCGCTGTGAAGTTAATCGACTATTGGATGAAGGTATAATCGAACCTTCGAGTTCTCCATGGAGGGCTCAAGTACTGGTCACGAAAAATTCAAACCACAAAAGACGCATGGTAGTGGACTACAGTCAAACCATTAATCGGTTCACATACCTAGACGCGTATCCGTTACCGCGACTGGATAAAATGATCGAAGAAATTTCCCGTCATACTGTCTTTAGCACCTTAGACCTATTGAGTGCTTACCATCAAGTTCCAATCAGTGAGCAAGATAAACCGTATACGGCTTTTGAAGCATGCGGAGAGCTGTTTCAGTTCCGTCGTATTCCTTTCGGTGTAACCAACGGAGTAGCATGTTTTCAACGTACTATTGACCAAATAATCAAGTCTGAGAACCTAAGTAGCACCTACGCTTACATCGACAACGTCACTATTTGTGGGACTACCCAAAGTGAGCATGACCAGAACCTCAAATCTTTCTTTGAAGTAATAAGAAAATATGGAATTACCCTTAACTGTAAGAAAAGCATCATAGCAGCCAAACAAATACGCCTTCTGGGCTACGAAGTCTCTAAAGGAATTATCAAACCAGATCCTGAACGAATGAAACCTATTCGTGAACTCCCTCATCCACATGACGCTAAATCCCAACAACGTGTTGTTGGTATGTTTGCTTATTATTCGCAATGGATACCATGCTTCTCTGACAAAATCAGTGTGCTTGTCAGAAATAAGACTTTCCCCTTACCGGAGCGTGTGCAACAGTCTTTCAAAAATTTAAAGAAGGAGTTAGAGAACGCCATGGTTGTGACAGTCGACTACAACGCACCATTGGTTGTCGAGACTGACGCCTCAGACATAGCCATTGCTGCATCTCTGACTCAGAACGGCCAACCGGTGGCCTTCTTTTCTAGAACACTGACACCGAGCGAAAAGAATCACTCTGCTATTGAGAAGGAGGCATACGCCATCGTTGAATCTATCCGTAAATGGAAGCATTATCTCTTCGGGAAGCACTTCAAGCTTATCACTGACCAGCGGTCAGTTTCCTTTATGTATGGTTCGTCGCAGAAAAGTAAGATAAAAAATGATAAAATTCAGCGATGGAAAATGGAACTTTCCGCTTTTAGCTACGATGTGAGCTACAGACCTGGAAAAGACAATCTGGTTGCTGACACCTTATCGCGTAACCTATGCGCCAATGTGATCGGCAATGATAAATTAAAAGAAATTCACGATTCCTTGTGCCATCCTGGAATCACTCGAATGCACCACTTTGTTCTTTCCAAAAACCTGCCGTTCTCTCTCCAAGATGTCAAGGACATCACCACAAAGTGTACGGTTTGCGCCGCCATCAAACCGCAGTTTTACAAACCACCCCCCGCTACGCTCATCAAAGCGACCCAACCATTTGAACGAATTAGCATCGATTTTAAAGGACCTCTACCTTCTGTTACTCGAAACCGGTATCTCCTTACCATCGTTGACGAGTTTTCTCGTTTTCCGTTTGCCTTTCCCTGCGTAGATACATGTGCGTCTACAGTTATTAAATGTCTGTGTGAGTTATTCTCTTTGTTTGGCATGCCTGCATATGTACATTCGGATCGTGGCTCGTCATTCATATCTGACGAACTGTCCACATTCCTACATGACAGGGGAGTTTGCACCAGCCGAACAACTTCTTATAATCCCCAGGGGAACGGGCAAGTCGAACGCCTCAACGGAACACTCTGGAACGCAATCCAGCTTAGACTCAAGACGAAAGGCCTCCAAATCTGTCACTGGGAGTCGGCTCTACCGGATGCCCTCCACTCTATACGGTCCCTTCTCTGCGTCTCCACGAATGTTACTCCACATGAACGGATATTCCGGTTTGAACGCCGGTCATCCTGTGGTTTATCTATACCGACTTGGCTCACTGTTCCAGGACCTGTTTTACTGAGGAGATTTGACCGTGCCTCAAAGTATGAGCCCGTCGTTGAGGAAGTCCAATTAATAAATAGCAATCCACATTACGCCCGTGTTCGTTTTCCCGGCGGGAAAGAAAGCACTGTATCCGTCCGCCATCTCGCTCCTTGTGGTGATCACACACATGTCAACGATCCCACGCGTACCTCACCCAATGAAGACAATGGTGTTCATGCACCCCCTCTATCTGACTTGCACACGCCTCCGCTCAATAACATTGGAGATGATATTGATCGTACTTCAGTCTCACCCCCGTGCCCCGGCAATGCACCTGCATCTCCAGATACATATGACCCTAGCATCTCTGATTTAGCCAGGCTCCAGCAGCGTACACGGCCCTACGTTTTAAGAAATCGAGAAGCCTAACCACACTCATTATTACTCATTAGATTTTTACAATCATTCATCCAATACCTGTACCCAATTTATCCCTCTACACACAATCCAACGGACAGGGTGAATGTCATGAATATTCTTTGTGCTCACATTATCGTTTTGTATTAACCATGCTTTCGCGTTCATTTTCAGCTTATGTACCTCTATTCTTAGACAAGTAAAGCGCTATTCATTCTACGCCATTCATTCTTGTTCTCGCGCTCAATCAGAATCGATATTCTATTCGTAGCAATACTGAATGTCTGTGAGGGAACATCCCGGGAGCATTTCGACTCCCGAGGTTTCAGGGACCGGCGGAGAAATTTCGGACAGCACATCAGTAGGAAAGTTGAAGAAGAAGACGGAAGAATCACAGCATTGTCTTACACCGATGGGAGTGGTAAACTCAGGAGAAAGCTTGCAGTATACTCGCACGCGCCCACAAGAGTTCACATTCAGTGCCCTCATAAGGGAAAGAGATTTGGAAGGGACACCTTGATCGCCAAACACTGCAAAAGCTGCTAACAATCAAAAGACTCAAAAGCAGCTTTCAAATCCAGAAAAAACTACCGTGGTACGTCTGAAGAGGTGGGGTTGTTGAAGAATTTGTCTCAAGGTAAATATATGGTTGATGAATTCTCGACCAGCGCGAAACCCATGTTGATTTGCACGAATCTGTCTCTCCCTATAATCCATCGACCTGCGCAAAACAATACCAGAGGGCACGTTAGATTAGATGTGAACCAGGTTCATACCACGATGGTTTTCACACGACGTTCTTGTTCCCTTTTCGAAAACTGGGATGATGGGCGAGGAACTCCATTCGGCTGATATTCTGTTTTCGTTCCAAATCTTCTTCAGTATGGTTGTCAGAATGTCCAGCAGGACCTCGTCACCTTTTTGAAGAGTGTGGGGTATAGACTATCCGGACCAGGTGCCTTGTCGCGCTGGGTTTCAGTTGCTGATGGCGGGTCGGTGTCAAAGTTCCATTCAGACCCGCTTGGTTCTTCCAGTGGTTGTGTTGAAGGAGACCAATTGAACTTATTGGAAATGCTCAGCCCACCGCTCAACACGGCGATTGAGGGAGTGAGCTGCTGTTCCGTCTTTTTCGCATATTGTCTCACTGACACCTGCCTTCTTTTGACCCGTTGATCGGATCAGTTGAAACAGGGCGCGGCTTTTGCCTGCAGTGAAAGCCTTCTCCATCTCCTGGGCCATCGAAATCTACCAGCGTTCTCTGTCATTCTTCAAGCTTCTGATTATCCGGGGTTTGAGGGATCTGTGTGCGCCACCATGGTATCTAGTTGCTGGTATGGCCTTTCAGGCAGCAGTACGATCTGCTGATCACGAAGATATCCAGTGTTCATTTAGTCGAGTCGGATGGGCTGGACAAACAGTTCTGAAAGCTGACAGTATTGCTTCTCTAACTCGCCTCCATTCAACTTCCAAGCAATCTTCGTCGTCCACATGACTGCGTTTCCAGTAGCTTTCTAACCAGATCAGCTCGATACCCTTCAGTTACTGAAACTTGTCGAAGTTGAACGGAGTTGCTCTCTTTCTGCACGCGAATTGCTAAACAAGTCCGCACAGTTGCGTGGTCAGAGTCAAGTGGCGTACCCCAGAAGGGAAGACAGTCCTTAATAGAGGCTTTTTATCGGTAACTGATAGCCGCATGGTCCGAGTCCACGACTGTCGTGTGGTAGGTAGCCTACAAGCAATTCGATGTATGCGTTTGTACTGGAAGTTCATACTGGCCAGGAACAGACGATGATCTGCACACAACTGAAGCCGCTCTCCATCATCCGTACGCTCAGCACCGGCTCTAAATCGACCACCTCGAGCTTCTGACCAAAAAGTCTGACCCCGAAGAGAGTGGAAGGATGTAGGGCTTTGTTCGCGAACCGTGACCGTAGTCCCTGACTCAAAAGTATGAACCTTTCCGGAGGAAATGACTCAATAGTCTTACCCACTTGGCTGCAAGGGGCGGCCTGTCTCGAAGGCGCAGAGGATAATGCCTTACTGTCTTACTCCTGGTGCGGTTGCGCACAAGTGCCTTTTAAGCAGTACCGGGGTCTTTGGTCTTTCATAGTTAAGGTTTGCTCGACTAGGTTGAAACGTAGATAACAGTAGCCTGAAATGATCTGACCCATGACTGAACGTGTGTGAACTGCGGAAATGGATCCGAATTTGAGAGAAGTTTTAACGTACAATGTTATGTTATATTGGAAAACTGAACGATACGCGTTAACTCTGCAAGAATATTGATCATTGGAAGAATTCTCTCAAATTTTCACCATAAGTGAATGAAACGAGATTTGACTATACCGTGCTATGCATGTCCGCCACGCAAGATCGGTTTAGGAGGAACCCGTGTTGCACAGTGTATACGAAGTGGTTAGCAGTGAGGTGATCTAATATAGCCCGCTTCAGAAGGCGTTCCACCACCTTGCACGGTACGCTGAAAAGGCTGAGGCCGAAGCTTTCGGGAGATATTCGATCACCAGTTTTGTAGACTGGCGTGATAATCGCTTGCTCCCAAGCAGAGGGGAGGTTGCCCTCGTCGAGTGACTAACGGAACACCAGATGGAAATGCCTTGCCGGAATTCTTGGATAAACCTCGTCTAGCCCCAACGCGCGGAGGAGATCTGTCTTGTGGAATATTGTCCTCCTCGGTGAAAACGAAGTTGGTTGGAGGCCGTCCGTAGCTACGTCTTGACAGGATTTGGTGACGAGGCCACCGAGGAAGAATACAGGCCTGACTGTGAGCCCCAATTCACACAAAATGGTTTCCGCAAGCATATCCAGATATCGGGATAACTAAACACGAAAAAGTGAGATTGGTGGCTCCCTTTTTCGGAAAGGTTACTCAAATGAATCAGAGAAGATCCAGCGTATTCGACAGATGATTAACGGCGAACACTAAATCTACGGGTTGGTAGGAAATCTACCGACGTTTTACTGCAAACTACAAGATAGACTGTCAACTAAATAAAACGCGGCGACTCACCGATGACGATCAGCGGATGCTTAAAAGTGGATAGTACCAGAATACGCCTCCAAAAACTGGATGAGTGTAGTATACGGTGTTTGTCAGTTTGATTGAATTATACGTAAGTATCGGAGATGCACAACCTTGCTTACTGGGTTTTGGCTCATCAGCTTTATTTCTGTTATCTATCCACAGAAATTGTCGTGAACACCTGCCTTCGGGGAATCACTGTCCTCCGATGCTTCCATAGCGTGCATATAACAATGAGTAACCCGTATGATGTGCATTGGGGTACTGTTAGGAGGGAACTCTCATCCGCGTGCATTCACGCCACCAGAGTCAGAGTCTTGCGGTCTGGATCGGGTTGCCAGTGTATAAAGACCATGGAGGCCTTATGCTTGGATGGTATAAAAGCCGGTACGGAGCTACAAATGATCACTCCTCGCTTGTTCCGCTTGCGGCCAGGGGACCCAGGCCATGCTAAACGCGAACAGTACTGTACCAACAACGATACGGCCACACCTCCTCGGCACGTGAAAAAATTAAGAACGCGCGCCAAGGTCATTTATTCAATTCAGTTCAATGGTGACACGGCTGTTCACGGGTTCACGGGTTCACGGATTGTACACAGGATCGAGGCTATCGCCCAATCTTCCCGGGTCGCTGTTGTTCTTTTCGGTCAGTGGCTGTCGTTCGCCTGAAAGGCACAAGTGAAAAAGGGTGTAGTACTGCTCTTTATGTTCTCATCGCGGGGCAGTATGCTTGTCAGCGCGAG